TACCAAATGATGGATCTGACAAATACGTTAACTTGGCTGCTGAGTCCTAGCTCTTGCTCCATTCCTGGTCCCTGCTCTTACTCACAAGAGGCGCATGAGAATGGATTGTGACAACTCTGGGCCAGTGGCTGAGGTGTGGTATAGTGTTGACTATAGCTCCCCAGGAGTTTGAAACTTAGCCATAGCCTTTACTCAAGAAGGGAGCATTGAGCAAGACAGACCACCTCAGGCTCAGGACACCAAGACAGAATTACTTCCTATCTATCCTTGTACCAGAGCCCAGAGTCTGGGAGTCTCAGGAGACAGAAGGAATGTTGAGCATGTTGGTGCCAAGGCCAAGAGCCGTTTGCCAGGAGAAGGTTGATCTTTTGTTAACTGTGGACCTACCTTTGGTCAATCATGAGCTTTGATTTCCTCATTCATCAGGGTGGTTGGCTATGTCCTGCCCCCTGACATAGTGGGGTAAAGGGAAAGCTCAAGGTGTGTAGGGCAGGCTGATCCAAGAGAGGTAATCCTAGCTGTTTAGAGTTGGACAGGGAGGATATGGATGTGGAGACTGAATTTGAGGGCACAGTGTTCACAGATGTGGCTGCCTCTTCAGGCAGCGAAGGAAGTTGACGTGATGTGTGTGTGCTTGTGAACGTGAGGGTGTGAGAGCACACAGATCCATGTATAAATGGCTTGCAAATGTGCATCCGTGGGCGTATCACACATATAGACACTCTTGGTTGACTGAGAGGCCATAGTAAGCTGGGCACAGTGACAGATGATCAAAGGAAGGAAGACAGAGGTGACGTTTTCTGTCAAGGAATCTATAGTCTCCTGATGGAAGCATGGCTGGTGAGAGTAGAACAGTATTTACTAACACCTAAGAGGCCTAGGCAGATGCCTGAGTATAACGAAACGTTAGGAGAGCTGACACGGTGACGGGGACACTAACAGAAGAGGGTGGGGTCAGGTTGGGCTGAGGGGGCAGCACACAGAGGAAATATTCCACACTGCGGGAGGGGAGCAGTGGCCCATATAGATTGGCAGACAGGGATGGGTGAATCAGCCAGGTTGACATGAATGGGAAGCAGGATTTAGGAGTACTCTGGCAGTATGTGAAGGTCTTGGGAATCTGCATGTAGGGTCAGTTCATTCCTCTAGAATCCAGAAGTCTAAATGCCAAGTCCAAGGTTGCTGCTAAGAAAAACATGTAGGGACAGTATGAAGAATCACAGATTAGCTGAGGCCACCTTTAGGACTTGGAGTGGGATGTGCTAGGACAGGATCAGTTCACTGAAAAGCCGAGATCAGAGATCCAGTACATCCTAGGCCAGAGTCAACTCTAGCTCCAAGTCTGGGAAGACAAAGAATGGCTTTCGGAATGATGTGAGTGAAACAAGGCTGGCCCTTGTCAGAGAGAGCAGTTTCAAGGTCCTCGTCCTCTCCTCCCTGGGTGCCCAGTGATGCGTGAGCTATTTGGACATCTTCTCCGGTGCTTTCTGCGAGTTCCATTTCCTCATGGGCTACACTTGGGTGACACACACATCCATGGGAGCAGAGATGTGTGGCTCCCTTTTGTTCTACTAGCACTGGGCAGCATGCTGTGCACACTCTAGGACCCAGTGTTGTCCCGGGAGTGTAGAGGCATTGGTCAGTCAAAGAGATGAAAGGGCCCTGGAAGGCAGAGGAGTGGCCTCATTGTACCACAGGACTTTGTAATTAGAGCAAGGTGGTTGAGCCCCTCTAGGCCCTTCCTATGGTGCTAGTTGCCAGGCAGGCTGCCTGCAGTGAAAACTCCAATTAGAAATGTCTGGGGTTGGCCCCTCCAGTCAAACCTTGTCAGTGCTCTACATTCATGTGGCTGAACTCAGGAGCAAATCAGTTCCAGGTCATTCCACTGTAGAATAACTATCCCAATCCCATTTCTTAAAAAATATTTTATTATTTTTATTTTATGTGTGTGAGTGTATTGCCTCCATGTATGCAAGTGCGCTTGTGTCATGCAGTACTCATGGAGGTCAGAAGAGGGTGTCGGATCCCTTGGAACTGGAGTTACGGATGGTTGTTAGCCACCATGTGGGTGCTGGGAATTGAACCTGGGTCCTCTGCAAGAGCAGCCAGTGCTCTTAACCACTGAGCCATCTCTCCAACCCTCTAATCCAGCTTGGATGAGATAGAAATTGAGACACAGGGGTATGAAGTGGCTTGTCCAAGGTCACAGAATGCTTGAGCGTGTGAATGTCAAGATGTCCCCATTCTCTGACCAAATGCTTTTGTCCTGAGTCACAGGGCAGAGAGGAACCTTATGGGGGGCTTCACTTCCGTGCCTTTGGACAATGCCACCTGCCATTCACCACCAGTCATGGCAGGTTCAATGACAATCATCTTAGAGTCTCTTCTGACAGTATGTCACATACACATGAGTCCCAGGGAGGACAAGGGCCTGAACAAGAGTAGAACAAAATTGGTTCTCTACATTGTTTTTCTTTAGTGACTTGTACACTATGTCACACTGGGGACCTTTAGGTTACTTTAGTTTCAAAACTGCTTTGCAAAGTTTTCTTGGAATTGCCTAGCTGACTGGCTCAGCTAGCTAGCTTCTTAGATACCTCTCTGCCTAACTCCCAGAGCCTCACCTTTTCCTTTCAGCTTCTACAAACGGTCTCTGCCTGTTTACCCTGGGGAATACAATGGCTGGGGTTATAGTATACCCCATCCCTCCATGGCTCTAATCTTATGAACAAAAAACTAGATCAAGGTAAGTCACAGGGCTTGTGTTCATTGGCAGGGCCCCATTCCCTGACCTCCTGAGTGTCAGTCCTGCCTAGGGCTTCATGAGTCCCTAAGCACCATCAGATGGTACAGAATGTGCCAGGCCCTCAGCACTCTGCAGTTGGGTAAGACTTGTTGTTTCTGCTCTTGCAATCTTCCTGGGTTCATTCATGCCAGCCCCTTGCTGCCTCAGAGTTCTTTCTGCAGGACCCTCTGCACACCCCACTTTTCCACAAAGCCTTAGGGTCAGAGGTCTGTAGATTGGCTTCCAATGATTCCCTCATTTTCTAGGGAGGAAACTGAGGCTCAGAGAGGATTATTACCAACTGGAAAGTAGAAGCACGTTTTCCTTATCCCATGTAAAAACACCTTTGCTCCCTACCTGGCTGAAGAAAGGCCAGGTCCCAACAAGGAGACCCCAGGGAGGGAGGAGATGCATCCCCAACCTACAGAGTGATCTGTGTCCTCACAGCCAGAACCACACAATTAACTGCTTAATTATAAGTTGTTCCACATTGTTATTTAATCAGTTCCAAAGTAGGCTATAAGCTCCTTGAGGGCAGGGAAAATTCCATGGGCTCTGGGACTGTTTCCTCTCTGTAGCCCTTGGCACAGGGACTAGAACCCCATGGTGGGATTAGACTTCTGGTAACAAATAAAACTAAAGGAGTCTTACTCTACCTAGAAGCAGGTGTGTGTGTGTGTGTGTGTGTGTGTGTGTGTGTGTGTGTGTGTAAGGAATGGTGGTTCTGGTAAAGATCCAGTGGGATTAACAATGGGTTTCAGGCCCCACAGATGTGTGGCTTCCTTGCTTCTCTGCTTGCCTTTTCTAGGTGGGTAGGAAGCCTTTGCTGAACACTTGAGCCTCTGTGTTTCCAGGCCAATAGGCTGTGGTCAGACCTTGGGAGCCCTGTCTGAGCAGAGCTGGGCAGTGTGATCCTATTCTGAACATTCTCCTGTCTAGGGCATTGGCACTGGGTTCCTGGAGTCTAAGAGGGGTTGCTGAGGCATGCTCTTATTCTATGAGACTCTGGTAGAATGGTGGGAATGGTACAGGACAAGGTGTTAATTTCTGGTACCCTGGAGCCACCATGCCTGGATGGAATAGGGATTTCCTGACATTTTGGTGAGATTTGTATCCAGGAAGCTGAGAAACCTGTTTTGGCCTGGGCAAGGTGCATATTCTTTTCTTTCTTCTATCTTGGTATCCACACTTCAAAGTGGGTCTTTGGCAGAGCTATTTAAACAAACCTGCAGGTTGGTAAGGGGGTGAGGGCATCTGTGGAGGGTTCATGGGTAGAAAGGTGGCACTGACTTGGTTCCAGGTGCTGAGGCTCTTGTGATTGGTGGCCCCTGCTCAGCACACCAGTGTGCCAGTCCTTTTTTGGGCTTTGGCTCCTCTCCTCTGGAGCCTCAGGCACCAGGGATGTGACAATACCTGTGCCGACTCCCAGTGGGTGGAAGTTGGTTGGGGTCACTAGGGGAGAGGAAACGGTTGCCCACATCTGCCTTCCCACTCACCTTCCCCACAGCCTGGGGCATGTATGCTTATGACCCTCACACTGTCATCTGTGCCTTCTGCATGACCTTCCTGTTCCTAAACCCGAGGAGGTGACAGAGTGCATAGGGATTACTGTATTTCCCATTTTCCTAAAGAGAAATCTAAAGCTCATACAGTGAGTCACCTACAGTCTAACCACGGCCTCTCCTGCTTCCCAGTCCTGGAGGACTGATGCTAAGTAGGCTAGATTAGCCATGAGCAGGGTATGGGAAGGTGTCCTCTCTAAGTGTCCAAGGAGGGCTGCTCAGAGAAGTTGGGGGAGAGGGTGTGGCTAGGGACATCTTTGCCCCATCACTGAGATGGCAAAGCAGATGGAGCAATTAGCCACCAGTGAAGGCAGACCAGCAGGGTGGCATTCCAGGGCCCTCTTGCCCAGATCGGCCTCAATTATAGGGCACAATTAGCTGCTGTGGGGTAGCTGCCTATACACGCCATGCAAAGTTTTAGGGATGTTTCTGGGTTGATAGGGCTTACTTCTGGGAGACCATATCTAAAGCCAACATCTCCTTTAGGACAATCATTCCAATCCATTCACTCCCAAGAAACACCATCCTCTGACCCCAGTCTCCAAGGTTCATGGGTGGAAGTCAGTCTTGACTTTTCCATAAAGGCTTTGAAACTTTAGTTTTTTCCCCAGAATCCGCCCCTAGCCTCACTGTGACAATCAGGAAATCCTCACCTCGGTTTTTGTTATCTTTGGCTGGGATTGAGATGGGTATCCCTCCCTGAAGATAGATGAAAAACTGGTAACGGTGTAAGCCAGTAGTCGGTGGTGGGGTGGGAGGCTGGTAGGCTGCAGGGAAAAGACAAGGGACACAGTGGCTTTACCACTATTTCACCCAGTTGCTTACTACTTAAGAGTTTCTCCTGGCAGCTCTAAAAAAATAAAATAAAATAAAAAAATCTTAAAAAACCATCTGTGATTTTCCATCCCATCTGACCTTCCTGGGGTCCCAAATGAACCTATAGCCATTGCACCCCATTAGGATTTATGTGTGGTAGAATCTCACCTTCAGTGTCTTCGAAGATGTGTGTTTGGGGTGGGTGTGGGTAGGGGGAGGCTACAGGTTGGCATGAAGGGGTGAGGAGCTGGCGTGGCTCCCAGGCCTTTCTGGGCCAGTGAGTGTTGGTGGTGTCCTGTTTTTGCTTTAGTCTGTCCTGATGGATTTCCTGCCTCAAGAGAAACCCATCTTCCCCTGTGTATTTGGCAGTGGGTTTTAATTTATTTTTTTCAGCATTTCCTTATGATCTCAATCCCCAAAGAAGCCTCTTTCTTGGCTGGTTTGGGAGGATCTGGAAGTGGTTATGGGGTGGGTGGGACTGGGTTCAATGGTTTGATCACAGGCACTGTAGGAGTTGGGAGCTCAGGGCACCGAGAAGAAGACTCCTTCCCCTTCATTCTCCCTCTGGAAGGCTGACTATTTTCAGAGGTAGGATTGTACCATGAAGATCTCCCTCGTGCTTATGCACAACCTGGGGCTTTGTTGGCCTGGCCCAGGTCTTCTAACCTGGAGTTTCTTCCAATAGTGCTTTGCTCCTCCTCCTTCCCTCTTCCCATCTCCCTTGTCAAGGAGCAGACACAAGCGGGGGCCGAGGATTTCCGGGGGGAGGGGGGAAGAGGCATGTTTGCAAGGAGGATGTTGGTGGGAGGGAGTACTGGTTCTTTATGGTGATCCCCCTCCTTTCCTCTCCTGATCAAGAAACAAAAGAGGGACTGGCTGTTAGGCGCTGTTGGAAGTGCTCCTCATAGTATACTTCCGACCACTGGGCCTCCAGCATGCCAACAGCCAGGGGAATTCCTGACTGTTCATCTTTCCCATTGCAGATCAGATACTCTGTGTGTGTGTGTGTGTGTGTGTGTGTGTGTGTGTGTGTGTGTGTGTGTTGTACATGCTCAGAGGGAATAGAGCAGGGTGTGCCAGGAGCTTTATAAGTTTGTGTGGTTTGAGGTCTACAAGAGGGCTGCTGTGCACATGGGAGGTGCTGGTGTGCCAATCCTCTGAGGCTGTTTTGGAGCATCTGTGTCAATGTATGTGACTTTAGATTCTTCCTAAACACCTCTAGGGCTGAGAAGACTCTGTGCATGTGGTGGCAAAGACTATTTCTTGTGTGCATGGGTGTGTGGAAGGCAGGTATGATGGGCAGATTCTGGCTAGGCTGGTAGGCTCTGGGGTTGCCCAGCACCTTTGAGGTAAGCATATTCCATGTGACCAAAGACAGGTGACCAGGATTCGGTGTGGACAAGCCTGAAGTTAGAACTGAGGATTAAACCTCAGGGAGATGGGGACTTTACCCTTCTTACTAAGGCTTCCCTGAAGAATCCCCCATTCAAAACCTCCAAAGCAAAAATTTTCAGTTGTGGGGTGGGATACACACATGTTGGCCAGGTCCTGGGCCAGGCACACAATCTCCACTTATGACATCATCTTCATTCTTTCCATGCCTTGGCAAGGTGGGTATAATGTCTGTTTTTAGGATGAAGAAATTGATGTTCTGAATGGTGAGGCTGGGCCCACAGGAAGTAGAGCTGGGATTGGAATCCTGACCTCATAATACAGAGCCTATGTGACTTAATAGACTGTGAGACCATTTGTTCTCAGTCCTTTGTCTGAGGCCAGCTCACTACCTGAGTACCCCCTTTAAGGGGAATTCAGGGCATACTTTGTGGGTAGAGACGTGAGAGGGAAATGGGGTCGTAAGTGCCCTGCAGTCAACCAGACCCCCGGATGGCCCCTTGCCTTTCTAGTTGCATGATGTGGGGCAGCCTCCCCTCCACCTTAGTTGTTTTTTTTTTTTTTTTTTTTTTTTTTTTTTTTTTTAAAAAAAAATTTAGGATTGGGGATGAAGCTCAGGGGGAAGAGGACTTGTCTAGCATGCATGAAGCTTTGAGTTCAGTCCCCACTGCTGCATAAACCAAGCATGGTGGTGCAAACCTATAATCCCAGCACTCAGGCGGGGGAGGCAAGAGGATCAAGGAAGTTCAAGATCACCCTTGGAGTGATCACCATGTCAAGCTGGAGGCTAGCCTGGGATACATGAGACCCTGACTCAAAAAAAACAAAACAAAAAACAAAAACTAAACCCCCAAACCTTGCAAGGCCGTTGTGATGACATCAGCGCTTACAGGTGACTTTCTGTGGCTGGTGTTTGCACATTGAGAAGTAGTGTCCTGTGACTCTTCATGGCCATTATTAATGCCCTGGTTGGGGGAAGGGGTGCTAGAGAGGCCCACTCACCTGTTATTATCTGGCCCTTAATATTCCCACTCTTCAAGTCGGCACCCTGAAAGGAGAAACAGGCAAGGCTGTAGATGACTTCCTGGACAGCAACGGTAAAGGCTGCCCCCCACCATGCTTTAGCACCCCTTCTCTGCTGAGCTGCTTGCTGTCTCTGCAGGGGCAAGATGGAGAAAAGACTGATACAGAGTGACTGGGGAGGGGGGTGGCCTAGTCAGAGGACAGACACCTGCCCTCTGGGGAGTCCTGATAGGGCCCTTCCCAGGGTTGCCCTGTGATCACCATCTGCCCTGAGACTGGCCATAGGATGTAACTGTTCATGGGACACTGGGCCCAGCTGTCCTCAAGGAATGGCTAGTTAGTCCATCTTCAAAGGAGAGAGGAACTCTGCTCCCTCTGGACCCTTTAGCCTGTAGGGCCAGGGAGGAAGTAGAGGGGGAACGGAAGGCAGGGGAGAGGGTGAACTGCCTGACTGGACTCAGGGTAGACTGACTGGACTCAGCCCACAGCTCTGGGAAGTTTTTTTGGCCTCAGTTTCCCTCCTCTTCCCTCCTCCCTCCTCTCCGCTCAGTGTCTGTGGGATAATGAGGTGCTCCTGGGGGCGGGTGCTAATTACTGTTTGTGCAGGACTGGAAGATGCTTAGATGAAAGGGACTGGAGCCGGGCCCCTGGGTCTGTGCCACAGCTCGGGGCCCCAGGCCATTCCAGGGAGCCCTGCGGGCCCCTAGGTGTGGGGTTTTATAGCCTTAATGATGGTGATTAGTGTGGCTCTTAATTGATTCTGCCAACACCTAACTGTGCCCTGGCCCCTTTTCCACCCGGCCCTTCCTGGGGTAGTCTCTGCCTCTCACTCCCGGGAAGTGGAGGTAGGATGGAGGATGTGGGAGAGAGTGAGGCTGGGAGAGGTGAGGGTTGACCCCTGGCTGGCCACTTGCCCTTTCTAGGACCACCTGACAGCCTTCCCTTTGGGCTGTTCACTGTGGGTCTCCTTGCTAGTATCCCCCAGCCCCCCAGGCTTGTCCATGAGTGTCTAGGTCATCTTTGGGAGAAGAGGCAGGAGTGAGAACAAACTCCACTCTCATGATTCCTGAACATCTGACTTTAGCTACCCCATCTCCTCTCCTCCCATCCTTTTGCCCTCTCCATCCCTGTTCCTGTAACCTTAGATACATCTTCAAATGCAGCCCCTGCATTGGTACCCACTACAGCCAGTCTGGCTAGTCTCCCAGTACAGTCTCTTGACTCCCACATTGGGGCCTGGCATTGTCTGGGGTTGGCATCAGACCCAGATGTGACCAGGAATAGAGAGTCTGGGGCTGGAGTAAGGGTAGGGTGAGGATAAGGGGTTGGTGCTTAGAGACTTTCCCCCTCAATTCCTGTCCCTTCCAGGAGAGGTCAGGACCCAACAGAAGCTTAGAAGTACTTTCCCAAAATAGCTTTCTTGGCCACCCTAGCAAGATGGGGAGGAGGCAGGGAAGCCGAGCCCAGCAGCCTGCTCTCTGTTCCCTGGCCTCCCCCTCATTCCTCTCCAAGGCAGCCCAGCCAGTGGTTTGTTTAAACCAAACAATAGCAACCTAGCCTGGCTGTTTCTTTTCAATTCCACACAGGCTTGGGTCCCACCCAAGTGATAAACAGGTCTCTCTCCTCCAGTGAGGGCAGGGAGGCAGTGAGGGTGGGGGGCTGAGACTTGCCAGTCAGAGAGCAGCTGGTGTGGAATCAGAGCCGGGCCCATTTGGAAAGTCTGACTTGTGGTCTTGCTCAGACCTTGGGAGCATCTTCTCATCCACTAGGGCTGCTTGGCAAAGACTGCACAATCTTTGGGTTGTACTCACACAGGCAAGCTGTCAGCCCTTCCCTCCTATCCCTCACCCTACTGCTTCACTACCCCTATGTTCCATTGGGTGCAGAGGACATTTAGCTGCTTGGGGTTGCCTGAGCTGGTCCTATGGACAGGTGCCGGTCTTGCTAGTAGGAAGGGTAGAGAAGGACTTGGTAGCAGAAGGTTCCCAAGCAGTGAGTGGATAGTGTGGCTGTGACTTGATTTAGGTTGGGTGATGGTGGTCAAGTGTCCTTTGGTTACAAAACCTCCTGGCTAGTCCTGAGGGACTGAGATTTTTAATGTGGAATCAACACCAGTAAGGCAGGGTCCTGGGAACCTTGAAAAGGTGAGAAAGCTGAGGCCTAGAAAAGCCAAATAAATTGTCCTAAGCCATTTGAGCAATGAGTGGGTGAGCTCTAGAATATTCAGGAAGGCTGGGCCATATGCCCTGGGATCCCTGAGGCTGACTGGTCAAGGGCTCAGGCCTTTTGGCCCACAATACTGCCTTGTGCCTTTTCATGCTTGAAAAGCCCATTGCTCCACTGGGAAGCATTGTTTTCGGCCAACTATTATGAGAATACACAGATAATAGATGAGGAAGTGGCACAATGTGAAGGGGTGCTTAGTGTGTGTGGAGCCTTGTGCATAATACTCAGGATCAAGTCAAACCAAACTAGTCAAATAGTACCTGGAGGCCCGGGGCTATAATGGAAATAGTTTTCTAGCTCATCTCAGTTTCCCGAAAATATCTTAATGGGTTTGAAAATCACATCCAGGTCTGGAAAACTGGAACTTTGGAGGATGGTCCAGACTAAGTTCTAGAACAGGAGCAGGATGTTGCGAGATGCCAGCTCTGCCCAAGAGGCCAAGCAGGAGAGACACCTGCACTTTGGAAGGAGAACCTGCAGGAGGCAAAGGACTACAGAGAGCCCTAACACCTTCAGCCTCCTCCGCTACACCAAAACCCCACTGCCTCCACCTGCCCCGCCAGCCTCAGGTGTGCTTGGTCCTCTTTAAGACAAAATCCTTTCCCTTACTACTATCGCCAAAGACTTGCTGACATTTTCAAAAGGAACTGTTTAAATGCTCAGGTTTTTTTTTTAATATATTTTATTTATTATTTTTATTTTATGTGTATGCGTGTATTGCCTGAATGTAGGTAAGTGCACCCGTGTCGTGCAGTGCCCTCGGAGGACAGAAGAGGCCGTTGGATCCCCTGGCTGCCATGTGGGTGCTGGGATTTGAACCTGGGTCTTCTGCAAGAACAGCCAGTATTCTTAACCGCTGAGCCATCTCTCCAGCCCCTAAATGCTCAGGTTTTAAAAAAGGAAATAATTATGGAAATCACAAACATCGTCGATGCAGTTGGAGTTCTGATCCTCAGCAACACTGAAAAGCCACAGATGGGTTTTTAAGAGCAGCAGGACTGGGGTCCCCAACGTATTTGAGTCATGTACTTGGGAGGACATCTGGGGCTACTATAAGTGTCAGGGACAGATGACCTCGGAGAAGCAATTCTTTACAACTAGAAGCCTCTAGGGAGGAGAATCTGATGATCATGACCCTTCTAGCAGGGACAGGAGGAAGAGCGGAAAATTGTTTTGTAGGACTGACTCTTACTTGCCCAGGATGTCAGAATAGCAGTTGCTCTTGATCTTAGAAGTTGGTCCCGTGTGTGTGTGTGTGTGTGTGTGTGTGTGTGTATGTGTACATGATTATATGTACGCATGCATGTATGCATGTGTGTGCATATAGGGTGTTAGGTGTATACACGACTATTTGGTATAGGAATACACACAAATTATTTTTGTGGTGCTCAGAACGGAGCCCAGAGCTTTGTGCATTCTAGGGAAGCACTCTACCACTGGATCACATCCCCAGCCCTGGCAAAAATGATTCTAATTGCAGAGAAGGACCTGGACTCTGTGGACATATGGGAAGATATGTCTGCCTCGGTGGAACATGAAATTTCCTTTCACTGGCTCCCATCTCTGTACTCACTGGTTCTCTGTTGGACTAGTTTAGAACTGGGAGATACTTAGCAAAAGTTGGGACTTGAGAGTCACAGTAAACTCATTCAGGGACCAAGATGACTCAGAATGTCTTAAAAAGCCTGTTCAGGCTGATTTGTCTTAGGAAGTCAAAAGCATGGCACTGGAAGTTGGTGTGTGTGTGTGTGTGTGTGTGTGTGTGTGTGTGTCTGTCTGTCTGTCTGTCTGTCTCTAGCCACTAAGAGTTCATGTTTCAAATCTCCAGGGCTTTATTCCTCTGATCTCACAACACTCCCTGCATGGGAAGATGGAGAGCCGTGGTTCATGCAACTGGACAGAAAGCATTAGAGCTTTTGGCTTCTCCAGAGCAGGGACTGCATCCTGCTGTCTTTGTTCTCCTGGGATGCCTTGTACAGAATGGGCCAGAGAGATGCTGTTTCCCTTGTCCTTGCTGCCTCAGTCAGCTTTACTTCTAGTTTCTACCCTTTGTTTCCGCTCATAGTGATGCTTGAGTGCTATACGCTCTGAGCTCTCCCCCTCCCCCTATCACTGCCAAAAAACCACTGGCTGTTGCTGGTCCCAGCAGGGATGCTGGCCTGGTATCATTTCCCTGAAATTTCTTAAAAGAAACTAGCGGCCCACTTGGGCCCTTCCAAAGTCCCAAGCTGACCTCCAGCTGGAGGTCATTGGTGCATTTCCTCTAGCACTCAGGAGATGATTTAATCTATTCACCCACTTCTTCCCATTTAAATGGAAGGATTCTGTCTGATTAGGGCTTCCCTCTGGAAGAGTGGGAAGTTTTGCTTTCCTGATTTTAGGGTGTGTGTGTGTGTGTGTGTGTGTGTGTGTGTGTGTGTGTGCATCCAAAGAGTCCCAAGCTTGAAAGATGAGGTGCAGAGAAATTAAGGGAGAGTAGTGGGAGAAATGAGCCAAACAGAACCATTGAGTTGAAAATGAAGAAGAAGGAAAAAAAAAGAAACAGAGCTCTAGACTCCCTGACACTGGCACCAAAACCAGAAAGCGCCTTGCTGTTTTGCACAGCTGCCTGCAAGCTGCCAAGTGGCAAAGGAGCCAGGAAAAGGCACAGCACTGGAAAGTGCTACCCAGCAATCTGTGTATTCTGCAATTAACAAGGGCTAAGTGAGTGGAAGGCATTGACAGCTCCCAGACTCTGAGATCCCCAGGGGCTGTGACTGCCGGGCCACCAAATGCCAGCCTGGAGAAGACCCAGCCCTG